ATGTATGTATATATACTGTATATATATATATATTTGTAATATTTCACTGTGAGTCATGCATATTTTATTATTTCTGATAAGCTTTTAACTCACTATTAGAGATAATAACGTTTTATCAGTCAGTCACGTCAAGCTGTCACTTTATTTCAGCAGTAAGCTCTACTGACCACTACCCTTTCTGTTATCAATAATCTGGGCAGAACGTTTTGCGTTGACTTGTTCAGCTTTCTGTCATATTGGAAGGGGAAACAGGCAGCTGAGTATGTTTTTAATGTAAACATTGTTTTAATCTTAACTTGTTGAATTTCCTTCCATAACTTCTTGATTTTTAAAAGATGAGAAAAATGTTTTAATTTTATGAATGAATAGTTACTGCCGTCATTTTTAGCATAATTACAATCTGAGCCCATCTAAGTTTGAGTAGTTTACAAATCATTCACAAATCATAACCTTTTAACCCCATAATATTTTAATTTCTAGCACCAAAATATTTACACATTTTAGTTAAAAATACAATTGGCGGCATTCTCTTAAACTGTATTTAGGTCAAAATCTGAAGACTCCAACATGTCTGCTATGTGGATGTAACATGATTTTATGTGATTTTGTTGCAGGATGGCGTCACCTTTTAAGATCCCCAAGAAAAAACATCCTTTAGGCTCTGACTCGGCCCACCTGCATATGCAGTCTCCGCTGTCCCGCCTCCATAACTCCGCCTCTCAAAAGGTGGTCTTGCTGTTTGTATTCATCATTTAACCATCAGTCTCTTTCTCTGAGCTTGTTTAAGGTAACCTGGTGTTTGTGTGTTTATGTGTTCTGATCTGGGCAGGGTTTTGGAGGTCCATCCAGCAGAGGAGGCACTGACCGAATGCATGCTGGGAACTCTCTTGGTTCGTCCACAGTTGGGCTCAGGTTGGTGATGCACCCCTTCAGGGTGCTTCTAATCATCAGAGTGGTGTTTTAGTAGAGTCGAAGGCAAAAAGATTTATGTTCTCGTGTGTTGGAATGTTGTGCAGGTCGCCGTTCAGAACTGTTGTCAAAACATTGCTGGGAATCAGCAGTTCTAACGGAGGTGGAGCTTCAGGAGCCAATCACAGGACACCAGGAAGTCGGAGCAGCCAATCACAGCTGGATGAAAGAGGGACGTCAATGTCAAATGGGTGAGTGTTTTCAACAGATAACTGCTTATCATATTCAGACTTTTCTTTTTTTTTACACATTACAGATAAATATTTAAATTATATTTCAACATGAAATAACTCAGAATTACATTTGTTAAAATAGTATTCAAAAAAAGATTTAACCCATTCAACAAATATTATAGTTTAGATTTTTTTTAAGTATATGAGTATGTTTTAGTTTGAAATTTTAAATATGTTGTTGATAAGAAAATTAAAGATTTGTACTGTACTTTATTTATAAGATTTGTATTGTACTTTAAACTTTTTTTTTCTTTAAGCTTAGAATAAAGTTGCATTTTTGTTTATATCAGAACAGTTTTGTTTGGACAGTTTTAGGAGTGTCTCGATACCAGTTTTTTTCTCAAACTAAGTACAAGTACTTCAGTTTAGTTAGTCACAGATACCAAGTACTGATGTGGACGTACTGAGTTAGAACCTAAACGTTACACAATGACTTTTAAAATACTTTTTATTTGGAACAAGGGGAGTCTTCTGACTTTATCAAATCAAATATACAGTGTGAAATATACTGTTGCATAGTTTTAAAATGAATAAAATGAACAAATAGGATTTTGTCTCAACTTGCAAGAATTTATTAGACAATGATGAACTTTTCACTTGAGTATCAAATCCAAAATTGATATTCATATTGGTATTTGCACCGTATATCGGGGCGTTTTGTATTAGTACTTGTAACAATACAGGTGTCAGGCCACTGCTAGATAATTTATTTTGCATGGCTAACTGAGTCAGGTTTGTAGGCCACCTTTCTAATGCACACCTTTTCAGCTTTGCTCAGACTTTCCATGGGATTGAAATCAGGGTTTTGTGATGACCACAATAAAACACTGACTTTGTACCGATCATACAGACATTGTACATGAATGAAACTAGCATCAGGGTTGTCAGATAAACATTAAATACAATTTTTGAGATAAACAAAAGTCATATTTTATTCTTGAGATAAAATAAATTCAATGGGCCTCATGCAAGAACGTGTTCGTATTTTTATCCTAAATTTCTCTTACTTTTGTTCGTACAAAGGGTTCGTACGAACATGTCACGTCAGATTCAACAAACTCTTCTATCTTCAGGAA